GAACCCAGCAGAACGTTACTATCTTCATCCTGAACGCCATGAAAACCCCATATTCCCGGGATCTGATCTACTTTTATTTATTTCTAAATTTAATTTTTATTTGTAATTATGATTTCAAAATATGTCTGTTTTAAATTTCTAACAGTCTCGGAGGATTTCTTTGTTGCCTTTATATTATGATTTTGTCCTGCATTCTGATAGTGAGACATGAACACAATTTTTGTTCAATTCAACGTTACAATTTATAAGTATTGTGCCACTTCCTTTTCTGCGCTGCATAAATTACGCAGATGAAGTAGCGATGATAAATAAACAAAGAGGAATCCATGTTTTTATACAGCGGGCAGTGCAGTTCATCCCATCACTCATCTGCTCCTCTGCATCCTTCAAGAGCAAGTCGTGGTCTAAGTAACTGTTTCAGCACAAAGTTCACGTACCTAAAATATACGTGGATTTACATTTTCTCATGTCAGCTGAACCTGGTGGTTCCTAAGAGCAGCATCCTGTCTCATGGAGAGGAAATACAATAGACGGAGGGGTGACGCATTTGTCAGTACTCACACAGTATTAGATTCCTGTTAAAATGCTTTGTGAGATGTCAAATTTAGTTATCTGCCTTACTCACGTAATATCAGCCATACATCACCACAAGGCGAAAGCTATCATTTGATGCATATTTATGTACTTATTTCGTGAGATGTAGGAGACGTTTCTGTACCTACTCAAGAGACTGAAAATGTAAGAGGAAATGTCCCATATAGGCCTATTGTAACACAGTAAGACAGGAGCACTTAACAATTGACTAGACCAACTCCGTGTAGCACATTCTTTCTTGGAAAGCTGATGGTCACTCAGCCGTCAAAAATTACACGAAATTTAAGAAACCTGTGTTTCTTTAACACATTTATGATAACCCGCAACTTGACATTATCTAGAGCCAGATTAATCTAGTTGATAAACTTACACTCTAACTCCGTGAAGAACATCTCTTGACAAGAGATTTCTTTTTTCTGGGGTGTTGCGCTGTGTAGTCTGGTCGATGTTTACCAACGATGAATCTCCCTGATGACGGAGGCAGTATGACCTCCGAAACATAACATCGACCAGACTACACAGCGCAACAACCCAGAAGACAGAAATCTTCATACTCATCGCCCTGATGACGGAGGCAGTATGACCTCTGAAACGTTGGTTAACATCGACCAGACTACACAGCGCAGCAACCCAGAAGACAGAAATCTTCATACTTATCGCTGTGAAAACCTCAAATCTTACATCTCTTGACAAGCTGTTAGTCGTTCATCTTCTCACGAAAATTCGCACACTGTATGAAATCCGAAAAATTACAAGAGATATTACTTGAACCCATCCATAGCCAGCTGAATCCATTCTTCCTCTAGGATTCATTTGAGTATATTATTCGCACCTACAACATCTCCCTTTCCTTCACGATGTCCGACTACAATTTGGTATTAATTTCTCCTCACTCCCAAGATCATTCAGTCTAAAGCTCTTTGATTTAATTATCCTAATACGCTTAGCATTCGGTGGAGACCCTCATTGTGCACATACTTATCCCCCTGTTACTTCTTCGCTGTTAGGTTCACGTACTCACCTCTGAAACGTCGGTAAACTACCAGACTACACAACCCAGAAGACAGCCATATTCGTGCCCATCTACGTTCTATTCTTTGTGTGGAAAATCTAGTTTTATACCCATAGAAAACAGCAGGCAAAATTTTAATCCTTACGTCTTCCGACAAGAGACGGGAAAAGAAACATTTTGAATCGAATGGTAGAACGCGTTCCCATAATTTACATCCGCCCGCCTTATTTCGGCAATTGCATAATTTTCATGGTTCTTCTTAAGAATCCGCATTCCCAGGCTGCATATAGCCAACACATCTGCCTGTCAGTCTCCTGTAGCAAATACGGAAATCAGTATTGTCTGGGAGCTGATGGGGCTGAGGAAAATACAGAATTTATCTCTGGCTTCCGTTGCCTCGACGTTTGCACTCCTGACTTCTGTCCCGCCCAAGCTCCAACCAACCATCATCGGGTTCTCTCAGTCCCTTCAGATTCCAGTTCATCAAACATGAACATCCGCTTCTAATTTAACGATTATTAATATTAACTGACCCGTTGAAACAGAGAAACTGACAACCGGTCAAAAAGTCAAGAAATTAGGAGCCCGAAAGCTCTTTATCGCGATGATAAGAACTCTCCACGGTGGTCTAGCGGTTAGAACGCTGGCCTTGTAATCCTGGGGTGTCGGGTTCGATTCCCGGCGGTGCCCGAATTTATAATTTGTGTTGGGCAAGGCCGTGGTCTAGGCAACACGGAGTTTTCCTCCGGGGGCTTCCCCGGTTTCTCCGTGGCATCCCAACAATTACTCCATTCACACACAGAAGAAGGCAATGGCAAACCACTTCTGGATCATCTGCCAAGAACGTATATGAACAGGTCCCAGTCCGAGAAAAGGATGGAAGGATCCTGTTCATATGGACCTGTCGTCAGACAGAACACTAAAAAAAAAAAAACCTCGCCAAGGGTTCTGTTCTAAGCCAGATTAATCCAGTCTGTACCCTCACAACCAATTTTCTTTTGATCCTTTTAATATGATCTTCCCACAAGTCTTCCTGTCCAATCTAAATTTATTATGCTTTAATCGCTTACTCGATGCTAAATCTGTCTCATCCGTAGCAGCTTTTGGAAAGAAGTAAAAATTATGAGCTCCTCAATATAAAATTTCCTTCATTCTCCTGTCAGTTCATCCTTTCAGCACACCGTTTTAAAATTTGCTCAACAGAATTATCGTTATCGTTAAATTACCAGCCTTATGGCCTTAGTAAAATAAAATTTTCAACGAGACACCGAACTTAACTTAGCAAGCGGGCGCCTTCCACATACAAATGACAAGCGATGCCGGGTCCCACGTTGTAGTAGAATGCGTTTATTGTCGGCTGTTGTAATCATAAAACAAACATTATTCTGACCTACAAGTTTCAGAGTGGACTGGTAAAAAAAGTACACTCGGCACAGAAAGTTTGTACGCCCACCTGTCGCTGCGGATACAGCTTATAGTACGAACATTATTCACAAAACTTTATTTTAGGAGTCTGATATAGTTTTTCACTGTTTATAAAGACTGACTTTCAAAACATGGTTGAAAATTTATCTTCAAGGTCACATCCAAAATTCCTCAGAATTTTCTTTGAGATTATTAATCCCTGAAGTCATTATGCGCATTTTCTGATGATAACCTACAAATGCATTGTGGGCTTTATGCGGAAAACTACACAAGTCCATCATTCAACTTTTTGGGAAATCAATAAAAATATTTCCAGCATCTGAACCAGTGAAAATTTCTCAACATTTTTATTTTTCATCAGTGCATTTACATGTTCTTGCAACGTAGGAACATAGCTACAGTTCTGAAAGTAGTTTACTTTTACATAAATAAAACAAAGGAACATACAGAAGTTTTTATTTGAAAGCGCCTCAGTATACTCAAATTTCATCTAGTCTAAAGCGATTTATGCCGAAATTAAATCTACACAAGAGATTGTAACAGAAATGTTACTTTCCAGCATACAACTACACAAATCTCGTATATCAGTTGCAGGCATCAAACCAAAATACTCTGAGAGTTTGCCCTGTTATTGTTGCAAAATGCAGGCCGTGAGTTCACCAAAAATTACTTGGATGTCAAGTTGAGGAGTTTGATAAAGACGGGGAATATAGCACGCATGGAATAGATAAGAAATACATTCAACTCAGTCGGACAACTTCGGCTTAGATGGGAGGATAATATTAAAATTGATCTTGGAGAAATGTGATATCAGGACGTGGACTGGATTAATCTGACCCTCGTTAGAAATCAGTGGCGGAGTCTTGTGGACACCGCAATTAACTTTCGAGTTCCATAAATGGAGAGGAATGTATTGACCAGCTCAATGACTATTAGCTTCAGTCAGCGGGTTAGCGTGATAAAATGGTCAGTTACTGCAAGAAACAAAATGTTTAATTATTCATAAGAATAAAGGCAGAACAACATAACAAGGAACAAAGGAATCGAATATCTTTACAACTAACGTACTAGACCCATGGGTATTCCTCGAAGTGTGGCCATTTTGCACTTTTGGAGCTGTGCGAATAGAAAAAAAGAGAAACGTGACTTGCGCCCTCACATGAACCCCAAAGAGATTTTAATTTATACTCTCTTTTGGGGGCAATTCGTTTTAACAAAGCAGGAGACTTTCAAACAGTCATTGCGTATCGATTAATCACACAAAGTGAGGTCACATCTATACTGCTCAGACACCGGGGAGTAGTCGCGACACTGTATTACGTACTGCTCGGTCCGTCACTAATCTTTGTATTTCCGTCGACGCTGCTTTGCAACTATCTGGTTTCATTTTCTAGCGGAGTTACTTGTATACGTTTTTGTAACCAGTTCCTAAACAAAAACACAATAAAGAGGTCTTGCCTGTCCTTCTTATCACCATGTTTCAAACATGGAATTAGCCTATTGAAAAGATTTCGATTAAATTTAATATTACGAACCTGCATCAAATTGTTTCAAGTTTTATTTTAATTGTAGATACAACACGAACCTCACATTACATTAAAACGAGCGTTAAATAAAACTGACACATTTCAAAAACGTGTTCCTGGTACTAAAAGCGTAACGAGTAGAAGACCATATATTTCACTGTTATCTATAACTTTCGCCTGAAACGTTTATGGTATGCCATAGGCAATTATATTAGGAACAAAATACAAATAAAATTATTTGTACATCTTTTAAGCAAAAAATATTTTTGGGGGGGTCAACAGATGTGAAATTTCAATAATTTTACACACGATATGACGAAAGATGACAAAACCCAGTAGTTTATCTTAAAACGGCAATTTCTTCCAAAACGATGTATCTTACGTCTCTTTCAGAAGGTAAACTACAGTCCGATTATCTGACCTAAACGGGACAGAAGGACGGTCGGATAACACGGAAAACTAATGATAATATAAACATCAACTCAGGTTTTAACTCAGTTTACGAGTATTGTTACATTACGAAGAAAATATAATATGGCATGAAATAAAAAATAGTTTTTAGCGGTGCGTGGTAGGGGAGTGTGTTTCATTTCGTTACATGCAGAGTTGAATGTTGATAAAATAGAGCCTTCAGACACGGCACGTCCGATAAAATGAAATGAATGTCGAATAATCGGGATTCTACTGTATAGAAATTTTTCAGTGAACGCATTGTTTATTTCGACAGCGTAGTAAAGCATTTCGTTTACATAACTAACGAACTAAATTGGTCTGTCTGTCCAATTCCCTGTACCTCCTTCCTCTGATTCAATTAAAACATGAACAGCCACATTAATCGACCGATTTTGGTAAGCAAGGGAGACAGTGGAGTATAATATTAAAATTGTTCTTACAGTAACAGGTGTGATTGTGTGGACTGTGTTCATCTGTCTCATAATTGGGACCAGTAGCAGGATCTTGTGAATACAGTAATAAACTTTTGGATTCCATAAAAAGTGATGAATATGAAGGACAACCTGCTACTTGGAATTAATTATCGGCTGACTTTCCTGAAACGTGTGGCAAACAGCTTGGCACTTACGGGCACCTCGCTCTGGCAAGTTAAAATTTCTCCCCTTGTCTTCGGGGACACCAAAGAGGAGTACTTGAGATGGGGATAACACCAAGGACAATCAATGTTGGTCCGTGGGGTTCTAGATGATGACAGATCGTTGAGAACTACGCAACAATTGTTGAAGCTGATTTAGGAAAACAAAATAAGGCCATAATGATTGCTTGTAATACTCATATTTTTATTTGTTTGCTATTGTAACATATCATGTGAAATGTACGTTGTGACATGTCACAAAAGTTTCTAAGTCTCTGTATTATAATGAAAGCCTACGAGAACCAATACTTGGAAAACGTAAAATATCCTGAGCCAAACTATGAGCAGCGAAAGTATTTAAAGCTGCAGTCATTTTATTTTCAAGCGATACTTTTATATTTATTACACATATTTCCTCAATGGTACGCAATATTCGAACTTTGTGGGAATTTGGTACTGTGGCAAACTCTCCAGAAGTTAAATTTATCAGCTGCAGAAAGTTTCAGTAGCTCACAGATATAGTTGTCATAACAATATGAGAATCCCAAAGTATTCAACTATTTGTTCCTTAGCAAATACATCCCATCTTCGCATACCCTTCCAGTTGTTTTGATGGTTCCTACAAAAATTCCTACAATTTTCAACGAATTTCCTTCAATTAAAAGAACGAAACTCTGTAACCTACGCTTTCTTCGTTTCAATTTCAATTTTATTAAAAATACTTCAGAAAGCATTATTAATTTCTTCCATGTTCTAAATTATCCAAATTCTATGCCAACACGGCAGCCATGCAGGCTTCTGATGTAGAAACGGCATTAACGCCACTTAACTCAGGGTCCTAAAATGTGTGAGAACAAGTACTCGATGAATATATTGTTTTTAAGGTAATTCTTGTGGAATGTAACATTACACGACAACCTTGTCAAGTTGATAATTATCTTTCTGTCTAATGACGAAACCCAATGAACAGCTGAAGCTAGGCGTGTGACATTCATTATGGAGTTGATCATAAATGAATCCTGGATGCAACATTGTAATAGAAACAAAGATACTTTGTGATTATATCGGGTAAACTTACAGAAGCGAGAACATGTCAGTTCAGATGATGTGGAGTTCCCTGACGTATTTAATCCTATTCAAGTTGTAGGCGTGCTCTGATAATAAACGCCTTTAAGGCAAAGGGAGATGCAACTGGTTACAAATATTCTGAATCTTATAGCACTCATTCTCCTTTTTCGTTTTTCCTTCACAGATATAAATCTGTCTAACAGAAAAGTCTGTTAGTATAGGTCTAAGAGCAGAAATTGCTTAAATTGGAGGTGAAACTGTTAACCCAGAAGATTTGCATGATATAAACTAACTCTCAAGTTATGTATGAACACGATGTTCAACTTAAAGGACCGGACCACAACAATGACTTGGCGTGATTTTTATTAGAGTTTCGAGTTTCAGCCATTAGATAGCGTGATACACGCATACACACACATTTTCTCTCACTCGACAAGGAAGATGAAGGAGTCTAGAAACAAAAGCAAGAAAAACACTTTCGCTTAATTTCCATAATACTAGGCACGTGAAAGAGCTAAAAAAGATCTTATCCTCAATTCTCTTCAAGTTAAAATGTGACACAGAACTTAACTTATGGCCTGTGTGTGACTTCAGTCTATTTAGGTTATACTTCGTATGTCGCGTGGTCGCTGAAGGCAAAAGTGACGCAAGAATTTTTTTAATGTAATCCTGCGATGCCGAAGGTCGTCTTAACAATATTTAAACATCCAGCTCGTACCTCAAAGAAACCACAACCCACAACCACTGCAATCATCAATTGGTAGATTGGTTTATTTTCACAATCTGTAGGCAATACGTGGAGTTAATTGTTATTAAAGCATGTTTTATATGCACTTCGTAAGATAAGATAGTATAGTTGCGTCATATTGTGATATTAATTAAAATAATTATTATATTTGTTTACCGTCAAATCACAATAAAATAGTAAGATAAGATAATTAAAATGATTAAAATATCATCTTATGTTCCATATCGAGCATTCGATTTACATCGGAACATTCACAACATGTTTCGGTTTATCAAACCGTCATCAGGTGTAAATTATAAACTTTTAAACTCAAATTACAATTATTTATAGTTTTTACAATTTTATAATTTTATCATCTTTCTCAGTATATTTCTTTTGGAAGTTGTGTTTAGATATTATTAATATAACATTGGTGTTTTGATGTTTTACCAGTCTGTGAAGTAAAGGATTCGAAAACATTAATGAAATATGATTGAATATAGAAAACAAAATGAACTAAAATAATAAATAATAGCAAATAAACACACCATATATGAAATAGCAATCGGTTCAGATGTGTTCAGAGGAGAGATCCAGAAGTGTTACCATCTCGGAACGAGGTTCGTTATTGACTGCGGTGCACTTCGTAGTACTTAAAGGGTTCGAAAGAGGAATTTGACCTGAACACAGAAGCCTTCAGGAGACAAATTCTGCTTTCCTCATCCTTGTGCCCGGCAACACCAAAATTTCGTGAACGTTCGACCCGACTAAGATATGATTTACTTCATTCCGTTATTTTACGAAATTGATCAAATTCCGAGGCCGTACTGTGTCAAATGAAATCTGATATAATACGATTACATCGGAAGGGGCAGTCTACTGGAAATGTGGTCATGGCATATTTGAAGACACTGTTCCAGAATTTGCCTAAAAAGACTAAAGAATACCATAAAACCCGCCATAAAGAACTTTTTCTTCCCTGAACTCAAACCGGTTACGTCCTAACTAATTGTTAACTAATTACAGAATCATTTCGTCAAAATATCACCCTTATTTAATACGAATCGAAGTTTCATTAGCGTATTCAAACATGGCCGCCATAGATTCATGTTCTGAACCAGATGAGTCCTGACCACACCTTCAGACTCTTTGTTTAAGATTGATTATAATATTATCCTCCATCAGCATCTAAGTATCGTGGTCTCTTCCTTTCGGATTTTCGGACTAAAATTCTGTGTTTCTACGTTTTTCATACGTGCTATGTGCCCCGCCAATCTCGTGTTCCTTTATGTGGTCCCCCACCCCAGTAGTCTTATTTGGTCAACAGCACAAATTTTAAATTTCTCAATGCAATCTTCTTCAACTTCCAGTCTCCGTTCTGAAACTATGAATGTCTTTAAATGTTTTCGTAGGATCAGGCCAACGAGAGAAGGCAAGTCTCCGTTCTGAAACTATGAATGTCTCTAAATGTTTTGGTAGGATCAGGCCAACGAGAGAAGGCGAAGCAGCTCGTAATTTCTGTCTTCATTTCAAAGTGAAGCCCAAAATACTCGCAGTAATTAAAGAGGAAAGAAGTTGCTACTGGTCACACCGCCGAGGGGAAAGATCTGTGACGGCGCAGAGACAGGATCACCCGTGATCCGATACCGCGATGTCATGCGGAATTATGGCGGAAGCGAATTACTTCCGCGCCATAACTCGGCGCCCCCTGCATCTGTCCACTATCTGCCGAAATTGAGCCTTCAGAAGGGGATCACGAAGCCTTGTCATGTTAAGGCGACGTAACTGATGGCAGATGTTAAGGTCAGTCAATGGACAAAGGTCACTTTGTGTAGTGGAATCATCAGTGATAGGGATTTGGGAGACAGATTTCATGTTCAGTTAGATCCTGTATCGCTTTCCGAATACCATCAATATCTGTGCCACTTCACTAGGAAAGCGATGTACAGTACTGAACAAAGTTAATGCACGCAGGTCAACGCAGTCTGACACAAAACAGGAAACACAAATACAACCATTTAAATATGTAGATTGATACACAATAGAAAACAATTACAACAAATAAATACATTGTAGTAGCTTTAGGGTTAGATGATGGATTCTTGAGCAGATAACTGGGTTAAGTCTCTGATGACTTCAAGTGAGATTACTGGCACAAAAGGTAGTACTGGAGTATGATGATGATGATGATCATCATCATCATCATCATCATTCCTCCATACACATCGGTCATAGTTCTATGAGGTGAGCGATGGTTCTCACAAAGCAGCACATTATCACGCCCTCGGCCCTAATTTAGGTGCTATATCAGCGCTTCCAAGACCTCAGAGAAAAGGTATATTTTAATTTAGCATAAGTGGTCCGTTATATAGTGAAATATCTTATATATTGGTCACTTGCACTTATAAATGTATTATTATTATTCCATCTATTCACCACTTTTTAGAGTATTTATTTCTATGTACCCGAAGCAAACCTTGCCCCTGAGGTAAACAGTGCAGCAGCTATTTCCAGAATACATTTTGTTTTTAATACGTGTTACATGTATTATATAGTTTTATTTTACGACAGCGTCTTTCGAATGATGTATGAAGATCCTAAAATGGCAGTTTTATGCAGTTCCCTGATGTCGTGTTCGCCCGGAATGTTGGCCAAATTTATTATTATTATTATTATCCCATCTACTCGCCACTTTATGGGGTATGTACTTCCATGTACCCGAGACAGACCTTGTCCCTAAGGTACATAGGGCAGCAGCTGTTTCCAGGATCCATATTGTTTTTAGCAAGTGCCACATGTTTATTATTATTATTCAAATATTTCTTTTACGTTATATATATCAGGTTCCAAAAAGAGGATAACTGAGAATTATGAACCATAAAAATTTAACAACGTGGCAACAGTCTGTTTTAAGATAGATTCAACATTTGGGGAGGAGAAGGAAACCCACGGAAACCCTCAGTCAAGGAAGCGGTTTCAGGGTCCGAAATCACTAAATGTCTACACGAGATTACAACCCATAAACCAACATCGCCTCAATGAAAAGCTCAAATCTCACAAACAATCATTTATTCAATTTAAAGCCTGTCTTCACAAAAAAACTTTTCAAAAATGCAAAGGTTGTGTGATTTCACCGGTAGTTGTCAGTATATTTCCTTACATCGTAAAGAAAGACAGGATGATGGTGTGAAGTCACGGACTATTATGACAGAACGACACAAGACCATTATTATTTATAGCTTATTTCAATTCACTGTCAGAAGTTCAGGCTATATACCATAAAATTATGCTTTGATTAGTGAACGATAAACACTTAAGGATGCATGTAGATGTGACTGTGGCCTCATTTAAGGTACCAACGTGGAATTTACCTCAAGTGACTGAGAAAAATCATGAAAATCCTCAGTCAAGATAGCGTACTCAGTCTCTTGACAGACAGGACCAATGTTGTATTAACAATTCTTACCAGAAATTACCTTCCAAATGCCCCCATTTTTCGTCCCGATATATTGCAAATTGTTTAAAGCATAAGAGCATAATAATTAATTGAAAATAAAGTAATTATTGAGTAAAACCACCTTCACTCTGAAACCAGCCAAGATTTTTTATTTGTATAATAAAACTTGTAACAAAGATCTCGTCTTAAGCAAATGCACATTTCGCAACGTCGTGTCAATGCCAACCTTTCTCCCCCCCCCCCAACTATAATGTGGAGGAAATTAGCACAGATGAGATTTTTTCATTGCAAAATCAGCAGTTAAATTACATCCACCAAAAGGCCTACGAAAGGCCCTACTCGCTGGGGTCTCCGACTCGGGAACACATTTTTCATATAACTATTATTGCCAGGTCTTCTCGTTCTTCTAGTGTATTCATTTTATTTTGAGGACGTCGACAGGGGACTACGAACTAAATAACCTATTCCTAACCTACCGACGTAGTCCACCAATTCGCACTGTGCGATGATATTAATACGCGCCGTGCACAAGAGAGAGCGCCACATGACGGATGTCGAGACAGGCTTAGTTCAGCAGAGATCGACCCATCGAATCGAAATGTGCTTAACTCGCGGAATATCGATCATGGCTTAGGCGGTTGTCGTAAATTCCAAAGAGACGAATTTTAAGTTCTATATCTGTATGTCTATCAAAAGCACCACAAATTCAAGTCCTCAGATTTAGCCCTAATCCTTTCATTTGAAGCAATATATATCGCTGTATGCGGTCTCTATGCATACGTCAATCGTACACGTGCTGGTATCACAAGTTAAAATACCACTCGGAATCTTACTGTATACCCAAAAGATTCGATGTGTAAATTTTATTTTGGTTTCGAATAGCCATAGATTAAACCGAAGCAGAGATGTGTGTGGCACACACAAAGTCAGACACCAGCACAGCTAAATTTAGTTTCAGTCAGACTTTGAACGTATTCTTGCCTCAGACCTGTTCATATTCAGTTCTTTCACGTGACCTCTGTGTCGCCTATTGCAAGTTCAGCTCGTGTCATCTTGGGATCTCATAGACACTTCTGGGCCCGTGTTAAGGATAAGACAAGTGATATTTATCCTTACCAGATAGTCATAAGAACAGGAACAGATACAGACACTCTGAGCAAACTGATGCATAATTTACTTATGTACTCACCACGTTCTCTGGTGACATTGCTGGATGAGATATCCGAAGAGAGAAGTCTACACAAGTCTGTCTTGAACACATCAGTCACAAAGTATAGGAATCTATACGAAAAGGAAATTAGATAATGTTACACTTTTCGAAACATGAAGCTAATGCAGACCTATTCAATCCTTCTTCTTATTTTTGTACACGAAATTCACGAAGTGTAAGCTACAGAACTATAAGTGGACAAAATAATTGTAAATACGTCACACAGTGCTCAAAACTTACGTAATAACAAAATTGAATTGAATTGAATTGAATTGAATTGAATTGACGACTGCTGAACAGATTGTAGGCGCAGAAACTGGCTGTTTTACGTACTATGAACACGAGATGGGCAGCTTACACTGACTAGGTAACAATATCACTGTGTGGCGTTGTGTAGACTGGAATCCAAAAAGAGGAGAGCCTCAGATTTATTCCTGCACTGTACGCGAAACTATTAATTCTAACAAGAACCTTTCGGATCACTTCCAGAATTGTCAACCAATCCATTCTTCTGTTAACTGATTCACCATGCATTTCACCATAGCAATATTCATTGCGTCATTTTACTTCCGGTAACAAGTAAAATACGTCACAGTACACAGCGATAGCGTATTGTGTCAGATCGCGCACCATGAATGACAAGGCGAGATGTAAACAGGCTCTACAAAGGAACACAGCGCAGGACAATTTAAATTTTATTTTCTGTGTTTAAAGGAGAGACATATCAAACCCAATTCCCCACCTACTGCCTGTCCTTTCTAACATTGACAAATATTCCCAACCATCACGCCCTGAAGATGGCAACTGCAATGTTGGCCGAAACGTTGGATAATTTTCACCATTTAACACCTCTCATCCTTAAAAGCCGACGTTGTAAACACACCGAATTAATTACTTTTAATTGTTCGTAAATTAAATATTCATTTGTTACTGTCGTTTCCAAATACGTTCAATAACTTGGTACATTTTCGAAACATTTATTAGCTTTGGTTCTCCAGTCCCTTCAAACTAATACCACCGTGAGCGAGGTTGAATTTGCTTTCTACCGGGTCATCTTTGACTTTCACACAGTCTGCAATCAATAGCTGAGGTCTCTAGTGATCTCCTAGAAAAATGATTACGTTGACATACCACATGAAGATGACATCGTTCAGTTTTTGGTTTGCCCCGAACGGTAGCCGAAATTGATAGTTCACGTTGCATGTTCCTTCTGCCACTCTTCTCTGAATCCCCTGTAGGTCTGAAGCTAGTCCGAGGAGAAATACTGAATCGTACAAATACATCACGCACAATTCGATGGCTTGAGTCACCGCCTCCTCTACCCCTCTCCCCTGTTTTCTAGGCCCAGACATTCCTGCCGAATGCTACAACTGCAGACAGGAGTGACCAAACCTTTTGGCCAACATAGTGTTTCAATTTACGCTAGTCACAAAAATGTATGTTGTTGAATTCCTTGTCAGTGTAAAAATCCTTATCTTCCTCACCAAGTTAATATGTAGATAATGAGGGTTGTAAATTCTGAGACACTAATATCTCTGACTACTAACTTGACGGCCAGGGTTCGAATACTGGCATAAGTCCAGGAAATTCTTTTTTCAATGTAAACCAGCGCTGGATGTGTAGTGCTTAAAGAAAAAGGCATTTTTTACGGTGATCAAATCAAGTAAGATTACAGGGTGGGTGAGAAGTAATTAAGCATTAAATAATATCTTTGCATTGGAAATATATAGGTTATAACCATTTCTCAATGCCTACTCACTTACCACCCACTCTGTAGATAAACATGGTGTAGTCTCAATGCCTACTCACTTCCCACCCACTCTGTAGATGAACATGGTTGTGTTGACGCCATGGAGAGCTGAGAAATACAAAAGAATGTTCGTCGTAAAATCTTAAGAGAAAGAGATCATTGGGAGAACAAAGCGCAGATCCGAGGATAATATTATAATGGATCTTAACTAAATAGGATTCCAGAACGTGGTCTGGATTCATGTGGATGTAGCTTATGGACACGGTGATGAGACTTTTTAATCCACGCAAAGAAAACAACATATTAATCAACTGAGCAACTATGAGTCATGGGGTTTGAAAGATATTTACAGTTATCAAAAACTACCTGTATTTTAAAATACACTGTTTATGGTAAATAGCGGTTCTTCAACAAAAGGTGTTGTTAGACTTCATTTGTTCACTTTGGTCCGTGGACTGTCTCGGCAAAACAATTGCTTTCCGAAGACTTTTGTGGGTTCAGGCGCCGCGCGCAAGGTGTTTATTCATCCTCACTAACAGTAATCCCAATCGAGTATAAGTCTTGCACGTAACAGAAACATTTGTTCGCTTTTCTCTGCGTTGCCCTGTGAAGACAGAGAAATTGCGATGGACAATCTCCCCCCCCCCACCCTCGGTTCCATCCAAGGAGCCCAGGCGTATGTTTGAACAGGATTAAGAAAATCTCTCCGATTAGAGAACCCCTCCTCCACCTTCCGACTGCAGCACCAAGAGGAAGAAGGCGATGTTTCCCAAGATACAAAGGCTGACGACTATGGATTATGTTCCTGCCCCCAACCAATTGTTTATTTCGCTCGACAACGCACAAACCGGAGAATGATGATATTGCAGCTTCTTCTCATGGGCCTCCAGCATCAAGCCGGATAAAGTTTATATATCCTCGCAGTATTTAAAGCAGACTTTGATAGGATGGGCCTATACTTGGCCGGCTTTATTTTTTGGAGTTACGGGCCCGCTCTTTTGCAGACCCATAATCAAGATTATATCGTGATTTCGCCGGACTTTTTAATATTATCTAATTGGATTCCCTATTTATTTCGGTAACACGAGGGGCCGGCGATCATGTTTAATGATAAATACGTCAAATACAACTTAAAACGTTTGTAACCGTTAATTTATAAACAATATTTCGCACAGAATAGGCAGTGTGTTTATAATAGACCTTCAAACAAAATTTTATATTCCTGGTTCCAACGTTGGATTATTCCATCGCTGAAAAATTGAAAGTGTAATAAACACTTTACCACGGGCGGCATGTCGTTTTTCTAATTACAGGGGGGAAAAAATCATCTACAAAATTTGCATTTTTCGAAGTTCTATTACAATACACGTAATCGTTCTAGGATTTGGCGCCAATGTCGTTCCACCTCAAAAGTTCGTAAATCCGCCAAGTTACTAAAAGAGATTTTAGGAATGTATGAAGTACGAGTCTGAGTTTAACTCCAAGGGCATAAAATTTATACTAAATTTTGTGAGAATCGGTCTATTAATTTAAGCTCTTGATACATTTACACACACACACACACTTGATAATCTCATTTTGGAAAATTTGGCGTTTTTTTGTGGGATAACATTGAAACGGATCTTAAATAAGTACGATATAAGGGCGTAGACTGGATTCATATTCCTCATGATAGGGAACAGTGACGGACTTTTTCAAACACATAATGAAGCTTTTGATCGCATAAAAAGCGAGGATTCTCAAAAGAAGGACTCTGTTCCATGAATTTAGTATACAGAGTCCTTGCATGATATTAAGGATGAGGCCATAACCGTCAGCATATAACTACACATCGCACTACATCTACATTATCGATTGTGAGAGGACGTGCAGATGCGACAACAGTTCAGGATGCACATCCACCCCATCTACTGTAAGGATTTAAGGACGACAAAGACAAAGTGAGAAGGGAATATCTCGCTGCAGTGGAGTTGCGCTCACGAGCTGGATCTTAGAGGCGGCGTGAGCCGAGACTATGTAACTAGTGAATTGTCACCCGCCACGCTATTTGTCCACGAGCCACGGCCAAACCTTGTCTCTGTAGCTCATACCATTACGTAATTTTGACGTATTATTAATGTATTCTTATTTCTATAAGTTATTATTCACCTAACAGGGTGAGAGTCGAACTTTGTCCCTCAGCTCATTATTATTGTAAATATTGTTATTGAACTTTTTATTTATAACCACTTGCGTCGTTATTTTTTAAGTGCAGACTTAGTCCTTCTCAGCATTTTTCTGTAAACATAACTCCACGTCAACCAGTTTGGTTGCTTATCTTAATATCGTTTTGCATTCTGGGAGTACACAAGGGCGAACTGGTTCTGCGTATTTTGATTCAATTAATGCTTCCGATGCTGGTCCCCATAATCTACTTTATTCTGGTTATGTCAATTGGTTTCGTATTTCCGGAAGCCTTACTTTTTCTTATGTTGTGAACCCTGGATTTCAACAGGGAACCGCTATAAGACCCTTCATTTTAAACATTCGTTAAAGATATCTGTCATTCTATTTAAAGGTTTATCATAAATTAACAATGTTTATGACCCCAAACTTTTTCAATCTGACACTGACATGTTTTGAAATGGCATAATTCTTGATTTTGGTAAAACTACTATCATACACATTTACGAGCAAAGTTTTTAATTATAAAATGTGTAATAATATTATTTTACATTCCCAGCGTATTAAATGATGTACAGTCCTGTTGAACTGTAACCTAAATTTTCATCAAATTTTTAAGCCTTAAAAATTTTAGGTCTGATTCGTTACATTGCCTTCTTTAAGGTCTGTGTTTTGTTGTCACCCCTGCGCGACCCAGATTGGAATATGCATCTGCTTCCTGAAACTCCATTAAGACGACGGATTCGCCCAAACTCTAAATTGTTCAAAAATAATTTCTTCGCTTATGCTATAGCAGATTCTTTTGTGGGTGCAAGAAGCAGTAACCAAGACATTATAGCCTTTTCCTTATTAATGCAGTATTTAAAAACAAAATTAGTTGTTCTTCCACATTTTATTCTATCAGTATACAGATATCTACCAGGATAATTTTAGAAGTCTCCACAATCATGGTAGATCATAATTTCAAGGTCAGTTTGTCAAACGTGTGTTTGCTGTCAGTTCAGTTTGCAAGGGCGGTGTGACATTTTTAACAGAGGTTATATCAGACGATTTATATCACTGATGATCATAAACCAGCGAAAGCCCAGAAGAACAGCATGATAATCCTCTCTAGTATCAACTGTAGTTTCTTAGGCCTTGTTCTTCATAAACACCGCACAAAATAACCGGGAGAAGTCAGGCGATCATGCAGGCCAGGAAACTGGAACATCACGCCCGCGACCCATCCAAGATAATTTTCGGACAGCCACTGACGGATATTACGACTGCAGTACGATGGAGCACCATCATTTTGAAACCACATTCGAAGAAACTGTTTTAAAACACAGCTTGAGGCGGGCCATTTAAGTGTGTTCGAAGAAGTTTCAAACTGCATTGACAAAATACACGTCTTAAAGATGCATTGCCACAGTCAGGGATGCAACGCCAACCACTTAACAGGGCCGCGATCGACAACCAAAGATGTAGTCAAGTGTTTTACTACAAATTCAGTCTCATTTGACGGTAAACAATCTCTGCTGTTGCAGTTGCTAAGATAAGACAGAACAATGAAATGGAGAGATGAAAATTGTGCCAAACGCAATGAGAAGTCGTAAATTTAAATCTCTGTGTTGCTCATTAATAATTGTCTGTTCCATAAGACGCTTTTGCTGAGAACTGAGAGTGACCCGAGGATATCAAGACTATCTCATCTCCCATAATTCAGCCGTTTGTCCCGCGATTTCCCCCACCCCCCACCCCATCACTTTCTTCACGCGCTCCGCCTTCCACTCCTTCGGCGTTATTCTCGCTTATTTCCGTAATTTATCACTCAGCAGCTCTAAGAACACCCCGAGACAGAAAACAAAGAACAGAAGATTCAGAAGGTAACCATACGCACCTACAGAATTAATCTGTTCGAGCTGTGTTCATACTCGGATGAGGATTCATGCGTTTTTTGAATGAATTCTGCAAAACGAAAGGATAATAATGAGTCTTGTATGCCCACCCGTCCGAATGCTTGGCCTCTGAAACTGCTGAATTAATTTGTATTTGATGTGAAGAAAATTAACTTTGGTCCTACAGATTCAATATAGACGAACCCCGATTTGCATGAATCTCAAATCTGGTTGCATCTGCAGATTTTATATGAAACGTTCATTCAGTGTCATTTAAGCCTTTGTTTAAAGGCATGAGAGGTGGAACATAATTATGAACAATCCCATCTTCCTTGAATTTGTGACAGCAATCAGAATAAAAATATGTTCATCAATTTACGAGTTAATTCTGCTTAATTTTGTGACAATATTCCATATGCACTCTGAATATTTTAGAAATGCGTAGAGCAGTACCTC